GGTATAGCGTTCCCGATCGCAGGTAAGTGTTGTAATTTTATAATGGAAGGGAGTAGACATTGGGGAAATTATCGGGTTTAAAATTATTTATTTATTTATTTCAAATGCCAGGCGTTTCGATAGTTATCATTAGCCCTTTAGCTGACTTCGGGCTTCACAGAGGGAAGGAACATCAAAGTAACAGAAAGTCGAGGGAAGGGGAACAGAAGAGTGGTTTACAGTTGTAAAAGAGACTGACACAAAGGCAGAGAAAAGGTAGGATGATTACTGTAAAAGTGGTGGAATATGGCATCCAGGGGGGTCGTGGTAGTTTGAAGTGAGAAGTCAACTGCCAGTTAATTGACTTTTTTGCCGTATGAGTATAAGTTGCCCATTGTCAAAATCGATGGCATTTTATTGTTCGTAGATCTGAAATTTTTTATAAAGCACAATTTTTGGACTTGATAATGTCGTGGAATAGTTTTATTTTATTTTTTAAGGATAAAAAACACCACAAGAATTGGATTATATTATTCCTTCCAAGTTTTATTTTAATACGAACCAAAATTATAACTTTTGATTAAGTTCATTTAAATAATTATCTTGTTCTAGTGTATTGTCAGAACTAAGCTAATGACAATATATTTTTTCAATTATTAACAGGATCTAAATGTGTGGGACGATAAAACTGTTCAATATGCTTTGAGGGAGAAGGAATCAAACAGAAATTGCAAGTGATGCAAAAGCACTAAATGCACCTCAAATGAAGTTTAATTCAAACATTGTTCCACTGTTTTCATTGAATTATGTTCTATTGGCTTTAATTTCAGTTTTCCTACTTTACTTCTGCCATGTTCGAAGCTATTGAGTTGGTCGTGTGGTTAAACAGTAAATTTGTTATTTCAAGTAGTCACGGTTGTCTAGACAATATTAGATTAGACGCTGCACTCGACATGGTTCATGTAGAGCTGAATTCTAAATCTTGAATCCTAACTTTCAGCACTGGGTAGGCATGCCAGCATGGTACGTTGCGGCATGTAGGGCGAATATAACTAGTGGGGGCATGATTGCTTCCCTCTCAGATCAAGAAGTTCAAAGAGAGTTGGGCATCAGCAACCCTCTTCATCGGCTCAAACTTCGTGCAGCCGTTCAAGAAATTATTGCCTACACCTGCAATCCGAGAAATGGAACTTCAAATTCTGGCACCACCGGAACATCACCTACTGATCTGCCCATTTTACAGGTAAGAGAGCACATGTTGTCCACTTAAAACCAAAGTAAGGAGTTCGAATCTTTTGAAGTTACGTGTCTTATGGAGGATGGTTAAATGAGATATGTAATCTTAAGTTTTGAGGGTCCTTCTAATCCGTCGACAATCTAATCCATTTAGGTCTTTAACTAACAAAAGGGTGTAATTAGGCTGGGTGTGACTATTAAAGTTTTGTGCAAATCTGACAGTGAACCTCGTGTAACGTTTCCGCGTTTCAGATGGCGCTGAATAACCTTTAGAGGTACTTAAAATAAATAAGCTGAGTGATGTGAGGAAAGAAACAGCACACATCTTGATTTCATCCGGGGGAGGGAAACACTTGAGCGGGTCTTTCATTATAAACAGGATCACACAAATCTTCACTGAAATCTGGACTCGCTCTTCAACTGTTTCATGAATAACTTCATTTTTGCTTATATTATGAAGATCTAGAAGCGTGTTAAACTGTTAAGGCTCTTCTAAACAGTGTTTAGCCTTTGTAAGCCAAAATTGCTAATTCGTGCAAATCAAACCAATTGAGGCCTCTTATTGGATATCTGTGACTTCGCTTTCTTATTCACTCCAAATTCATTTGAATAGCGTTTTTCCAACGCTCTACTGAAAGAAAGTTACTTCTAGTAATAGAAGTAGACCTTGACTTAAGCCTAGGTTTCTTTAAATTTGTCTAAAATTTACATTATTGCTAGATAAACATTAATTTTACGAGTGTGTACTCTTTAAATATTTTTTATTTGACCGTTTATTATATAATTATTTTTTCCTTTAGAGTAGGCAACCTATGAGCAGGATTTGAAAAAGATTAAACTCGGGGTTTCGAATCTTAGGTTCATGTCTAGAAAGGTCGTTTGCCACTTTGTTGTAGTCAGAGGGTAGGTATTTAACACTAGCTGAGCCTATTTATTTGCTTAGTCATGCCAGAGTTTAGTTGTTTGTTAATATTCTATGAAAAAAATTTAGCTTTACCTATTTGACAACCGCAAAAAGATCATTGTTTTGTTATTTTCCGTTTAAAATTTGGCAAACAAAGGGTAACTTTTGTTTTAACATGCTGATGAAGTTACAAGTAATATGCAATAAGATTCCAATACGCACCTAAAACAATTATGTTGATTATTGTGATTAACTTACTAAAACAATAAGATAATTTGTGTTCCTCATGTTCTATATATGATCAATTTACTATTGTTCTGATTTATTACTAACATCATTTACTACATTGGGTCAGAGAAATCGTTTGCACAATAATTGTTCTAATTATTGAGTTTGTTTAATCGATAAAACTAAGCTTTCTTTTATTTATGACATCATCATTATCTACAGTGAAACTATAAAAATTTGACAGTATCATTATGAGAAGTTACTCACATCGATTGATTGTTAGTCCAGCGAATGATAAAGATGAGAGTATCAAAACACTTTGGATTGTTACCCTTCTCAGGCCATACTCTGGGGAATATCAAATTAGAGAATTTACTTTCTCAACCAATGGGAAAAGGGTTAACTGACACGTCGAAACCGACACTTCTTGCTTGCATAATGGTTGGCGTTGAAGACGAACATTCTATTTTCTAGGCAAGTCCAAACCACGAGTGGGTTGGCAATATATGGCTAGCGACTCTAGGACTGATACAGTACCGTCGTCAATTTATGGAGTGTCTGGTGGACGGTCGAATGCTGGAGCATCTGACTAAGCGTGATTTACGTGTTCATCTCAAAGTTGTCGATGGATTTCACAGACTCAGTATCCAATGTGGTATTGCCCTCCTCAAGCGTTTCAATTACGACATCGATGCAATCGAGGAGAGGCGCTCTGCGTGTCTCAATAAGGACACTGGTAATTCGTTTATTTTCATTTTATATTAAAATTGCTACCTACTGACGTGTCTCCCGTTTCCCCTCTTTCACTTGAAGGATCCATAATTTGGCAGATAGATTAACTGCTACCCTCCACCCCCCCCCCCCCCCTTTATCACTTTATAATAGAAAAGAGTCAAGGTTTACTCGTGATTATTTTGTTAATGAGAAATTAAATAAGTCGTCAACTTTGAACTATCAAGTAAAAGGCAAGTTTTTGGCTGGTGGTGGATGTATATCGCCATTCATGAGTTAGTAAACAAAGGAAAATTAGATAAACAATTCTGATACTTTGCAGCTTTGGGGGAAAGAGGGGGGGGGGAGGGGGGGGAAGGGAGGACAAGTGAATTAAATAGATAGCAACATGAGTTGTTTGGCCACATTGTTACAATGCTCGATGCTTCACCGGCCATAGTGTTCAGACGAAGAGGCGCACCACAGCCATCAATGAATCTTACCTTAACCGAGAAGCTAACAACTTTTTGGAACTTCCGTAGGATTTGTGTTGATCAGTGTTCCCATTATGACCACCCAACTCCACATACGTAATTTAGAAGAATGATTGGGGTACAGTAAAGTTGCCTCAATGTCCCCACTGGACACCTGTGTGTTTGCTTCAAAGATTATTTTCCTGATGGAAGACATCAAGCTAATCGTGACACAAACAAAGATGAAAAATGCTTTTACCTAAAGAATTTCATTGTTAATAATTAGTTGTCTCTGATGACAGCCCAGTTATACTCTTAAGTTGCGCCAAGTGCTGTGGAAGTTGTTATATTGAATGCAATGTATTATGGTAGATCCGATAATCTTGGTCCAAAACGAGTACAAATATAACGGATCAAAATCCAAGAGATTTTTAAAAAAGGAAAACCCGTTAAAATATAATTAAGGTGCTCACAGAAATTGAGTACTATGTTGGAATTGCATTAATGACTCTTCAAATACAGAGGCTGACAGGCGGTGGTAATGGGGGAATAAAAGGCAAATTTATGATTGGATAAATTAACCAAAGGCCCGTGGGGGATTATGAAGGATATTAAACATAGTTGATGAATGAACTGTAAGCCAATAGGGAATTGGAATGGAAGTACGACGTAACAGTATAGTAGAATTTCACAGATGACCTACCGATATAGTAGAATTTCAGGTGAAGGAATGCACCAAACATAATCCGTATATGTGGGGTAATTGGGTCATTACATTGGCCTGAGGGGGAGGGGCATATTATGGGATTAATGGGAATAAAATTGCCCAAAAGGTGTTTAAGGCATTAATAAATTGCTGAATCTAAATCACCCCGTCTCCTTTTTTTGTTCACCCTGTTACAACACACAGATCTAATTGTGTGGACTAACGATCGAGTAGCAACTTGGCTCACCACACTGGGCGCATTGGATGCAAGCAGCAGTATAGACCAGTCAGGTCTTCACGGAGCTGTTCTTGCCCTCGATGCTGATATGGATATTCCCACGCTTGCTGCAATGCTTCAGATTCCAAATTCAAATATTGAAACTCGGTTAGTGCTCATAATATCAGTCATGAGTGTTTTTTTATGGAAAAAACAGAACTGCATTTTTAATAATCTTATGGATAGTAAAACATGAAAGTAATAGTCAGGGTAAAGTGGAATATTTTTATATCAAATGGCGGGCGCTTTGATAATTATCATTAGTTCTTTAGTTGACTTCAGGCTTCACAGAGGGGAGGAAGAGGAGGAACATCAACGTGAAAGTTGAGAGTGGGGGCAGAAAAGTGAATCAAAGATAATGTAAGAGACAGACATAAAGATAGAAAAAATGTTGAGGTGAGTACTGTGAAAGTAGACGAATATGACATACAGTGGGGTGATGGTAGCTACAAGCAGTGGGGTGATGGTAGTTTGAAGTCAGAAGTCAACTGTCGGTTAATAGACTTTTTTGCCGTATGAGTATACGTTGCACGTGGAGGTAAGTCTATCGCACTTCCGTAAAATGGAATATAAGGAAGAGGTTTGGTGAATAGGGGAAAAAAGTCTCAAGAAATCTTTAGAACCTACTTCACCTGATTTCTGGGTTCCCACAAATTACTCTTTTGCGCAAGATTTGAACTTTCTTATAGCAAGTCTATGATTGGAAAGATTGGAGTTCAGCAGATTTTGTAATTACCCACTTTGGCTTCATTCTATGCTGATAGACCTGGGTGCTGAATCGGGAGGTTGGTTGGACCCATCTTGATGTATCTAGTTCTTAAGACGTTAATCTCTCATGCATTTGATTATTGAATATTAGATTTCCACCATCGATCTGGATATGCAAGACCACCACCGAATCAAGTATCGTTACAATTAATGGCTTAGCAGATGGCTAGTCACTTTCTGATCATTAAAAGCTCTTTAAGCAAATTTATTTTCATAATAGCGAAATATACGTATTCAACTTGCAATATTCTAAGTCTGAACAATCATTACTATACTGGTCTCTTAACAGCATAACCTTCCACATTAATGTGACTTTCTGTTTCGCCAACATCATCAGCAGCTCTACAAGGTTATTTCTACAAAACTTCAAAATTAAATCATGTTCGTGTTCACTGCCTACCTTCTGAGAATGAATTCAAGTCACGAGTTGATGTTGTTCATTTATTAACACTGCCTTTGACAAAGATAGATGGCCTCTAGAAATTTACAATTCTAACAAACGTGCGCATCTCAGTAATTACGGAGGTAGTTCTGGAATGCACATGTTTTCCTCATGCCGATAATGACAGCGATATGCACGAAAATTTAACCAGCATTGAGTCATTCCCAAGGTTCTCTTACTTGCAATCTCTTCTATATTTGATGCCTACTAAACTAAAATTTTTGTAATTAGTAATTATGCAAAATATGTAATAAATAATATTCAGACAGGGTTTTGGGCCCATTAAATTTACTCATGAAATTATATTTGTTTAAATTTCTGTTTCCATAGCACATTAGTTCACACTTTAACCACCACAATTTGTGCATACTTTAGATTAAATGTTATAACAATTTTAATTTAATTTTTTATCTTATTAATAATTTAATTTATTACAAATTCTCGTAAATAGGCGTAAAAAGATGGCGAAGTACACTGTATGGGCCAACAACCTTTTAAAATTTCTTCCTAAAATTGAAGAATTTTAAAATTTTGATTTCTTTATTTTGTATTTAAAGTTTTATCAATTTAAATTATTCTTACGTTCAAGCAAATAAATAGGGTATGCGGGGAATTAGCTTATTATTATAAAGATTCATTCTATATTGATTGAATTTACTAATAATTTCACTATTTTTATTTTTTGTTTAAATCCCTAAATTAATTATAGGGAAATTTTAGAGTATCACCTGTTCAATTTGGTCAAACCTTATCGAAGTCTTCAATTATCATACATTAATTTGGACAATCCAGCCTTCACTTATGATGAGAGAGGTGAAGAGTACCCATGGGAAGATGAGGAGATCAGCACGGAAGTAGAGGATCAAACTATGGGATACAAAGAATCCGTTCCTCAAAGGGGTGGTGGTGGTCCCTCTGTATCCGACGAACTTTATTCTACTCCTAAAGCGGGGAAATCGGTCCCTCCCTCAACCAGCTCCACAAAAGGTCACATCCACTAGAAATTGAAATTCCCTGATGTCAATCACGTATTTATATCCAGTAAGATTTGCGTTAAGTGCTTCATTAATATTCGTGTTTTCGTCTTTGATTTTTCATCTAGGTGTCAGTATTTATGTTAATAAATGTTTTTTTAATATTCTCTCAGAAATAAAAGGAAGAAATCATAACGAATAAAACATTGTTTTATTTTCTCCTTGACAATTTTCTGAAGGTATATGTGAATCGCCGTGATGTTTTTTAAAAATTCGATATTTTTACAATCAATTGATTTAACTACTTGTGAGGCATTTTTTATATAATTCTTCAAAAAAACACAAATAAATTGCCGCTTTGGTTGAAATGTAAATAGACCCAAGCATTTATGCAAAAGTTCTCAATCCCCTCTAAACGTATTGATCTGAATGTGTGCTTCAACGGTGATTCAGTACCATTTTTTCACTCGAGCAAGCGGTTTCCGAATCTCATAGTGTGCTATTAACTATCTGACTAATTCCTTAAGTAACGGAGGAACTTGAAGGGGTGGAGTGTTTCCAATCACTCAGAAACATTTTCCCAGGATTAGAGCCATGACAATTTAATTCCTGATATAAGTTTAAAAAATACAATGGCATTCCTGGTAACTTAGTTAACTGACTTCCACTTTAGTTAGCCAAGAAACCCAAAAAACAAAGGCAGTGCATACCATTCAACGCTTTGTTAAACAGAAGGAAGAATGATTTTTTTCAATTTCGCTGCAAACTAGCAGGGAGATTTATTGAAATCGAGATCAGCTTTAGTATTTTATTATGAACTAAGTGGAATGGAAGAGTGTATTATGCTTAAATACCATTTACGCTGGATTTTAAATTGTAAATATTTATTTATATCAAATGGCACGCGTTTTGATGGTTATCATTAGCCCTTTAGTTGACTTCAGGCTTCACAGAGGAGAAGAAATATCAAAGTGAAAAAAGTCGTGAGGGGGGGCCAGAAGAATGTTTTAAAGATGTAAAAGAGACAGACACAAAGGTGGAAAAAAGGTGAGGTGAGTACTGCGGAATTAGTCGAATATGACATACAGTGGGGCGGTGGTAGTTTGAAGTCAAAAGTCAATTGCTAGTTAATAGACTTTTTTGCCGTATGATTATACGTTAC